CCTCGCGAGCGAGCGAGCGCGCGCTCGCGGCGTCGCAGCACGATGCATCACGCGTTATGCGCGTATAACACATAATACGACGTGCACGAGACAAGGATAATAACGGGGATGACAATAATTACACGGTAACGCCGAGTACGATGCGCGAATGTAGCCGCTGAAGCTGCGATTTTGCGCGGAATTATGTGAAATCGCGATATCACCCGCGGTTATGCAAAATAGCGCTTGTATTTCACCGCCGCTCTGATCGGGATTATCCTTTTTATTTGTCTTGCCGTGTTACGTGTTTTATTATTTTCTCTCCTTGTCATATTACATAAGTAATTCCATCTCGCGATTATTACTCACACGAGTTTCGCGAGTGAGATCGCGATTTAATGTAAAATTGCGCGAAACGATCTCCTCGTCGTAGTCGACGCGCGTCTAGAATTACGTTTGCAATCGGGTAGTCAGGATTAAACGAGAGCGCCTCTTCGACGAGTCCTCGACAGGCTGGAAAAGCCGGAAGTCGTACTGGAAGATTTATGCGCTTCCGAGTGCGGTTACGATTTTCTCTCTCTCTTTCTCTTGTTCGATACATCACGCCCACAAGCAGCAGTAGATTACGCGGCGTTTTTGCATTGCGATGCATCCCGTGTGCCTATGCTCCGCCACGATTTATGGGTTATGCAAACAGCAAGGAAGTCCAGCTGAAGGCGTGAAGAACGGCTCCGAGCGTCTTCCTTCCTTCCTTCCTCTACGACGCAAAAACTGGTTTAACGTGCTCTCATTTATCTCATTCTTCTCTATCGATAGAAAATTTGTACATATGAAAAAATATTCTATTGTGCTAAGAAAAGCGATAGCTTAATTTATTTTCTTGGACGGCCATCTTCAATATAGAATATTTTTTTTATAACAATCTTAAAATATACTCACTCCAAATCTGAAAAAGATTCATTGTCATATGCTGGAAAATAGAATTTATTCTCTTCACGAAAGTATTGTAAAACTGAAAAAGTTGGGTTGACTCCATGTGGTGAGAGTGAAACGAATTTTTACTTCAATTTAATATTTTTTATTGAAATGCTAAATTTGCTAGAATACAGAATATATTTGGTGTATTAAATTTGATGTTTATCACAAACTTATGGTAAGCTTGCAAATATGTACACTGAGAACAAAATATTTGAAAATTTCTTTATAGAATAAAAGTCCATTTCGCAGAAATAAACTTTGTTTCACAGAAATAAATTTTCGAGTATTTTTTCTCAGTGCAAATTTATGAAATATTTGAAATATATAACATTTACTTGAATGCATTTTTATATATGCGTTCTTTTCAATACACAATCTGCACAAACTGCACATATCACTATCACATGACGATAACGCTTGAAATGTTTGAGGTATGCGCGTCGCCAATCGTCTTCTGCAATTGACGCACTTGATTAATGCTCATTCGGCACGTTAATGATGTTCCGCGATTACAATCGCGCTTCCGCCGCGAAACTCGGCCGAGATCTGTCTCGAAACGCGATACGCTTCGATAGATAAATCCTGAGAATCAACTTGATGACACTCGTAACGTCATATGAGCGCGATTCAAGCGAGGGACTCTCGAATGAGATTCGCCCCGACGAGGTTCCATCGCCGACTGCACTTTGCATCGAGCACTTTGCGATGCAGCGATTGCGCCGGCACCGACGACGAACGAAATCGTCTAAATAGGAGAGGGACGTCGCGTGATTTATTATAAAATATTACGCGACACAACGGCGAATAAGCGCAACCTCTGGGCCAAGCGTCGCGAGCAACGAATAAATAAATTATGACACGATTGGTCGACCGCGTGGGTGGCAAGGGCAGGTGCGCCTGTCCAAAAAGGAGAGTAGCCCCTTCGCATTGGTCCATCCGTGGTTTCCATGGACGCGAATAATCGATCTGCTCGCCGCTGACGTTTGTCTCTTCCACAGAGCATGCTCCAATGGAGCCCGGCTCCCCTCGATCGCAGGGCCATTGCGTAATCGGGCCCGAGTGTATTATTATGTGCAACGCGCGCGCGATGGTATTAACGAAAAGTAATTTTCGCGGCTCGAAATGCCCCGTGCATTTCGAAATTTGCGCCGTCGACGAAATCGCGAACTAAGATTTCACAATGTTTGAATGTCAGGAGGAAATTACATATCATGACGAACAAATTCCATAATGCAATCGGATCCTTCCATTATTTTTGAGAATTGACGGCATTCGTGTCGACTCAAAATTGACAATATATGCCGGAATTGGTACTTGTGGTGTTCGTTTCAGATTTTTTAGATATATTTTCTATCACATTGAGAAAGAAAACATATCTAAGAACATATCTAAACATATCTAAGAAATAGTAAACACTTATTCGGCAAATACTAGCAACATATTTGCTTATACTATAAAATAATTTTCACAAATGAGAAAACATTTCCTTAAAGTAAATTCCTTAATCTGAAGAAAATCTTAGCTTTCATGAAAACAGTTGTTTATTCTATTTAAACAAAAAAAAAAGTAAATTTAAATATGTGTTACTAATATCCACCACAGAAATATTTACTAATTTTTTAGATATTTTTCTTCTCAATGATACTTTGCGATACACACTTTAATGTTGACTTATTATTCTTACTACGGCCTTTTACTACCTCAATATTAATATTTCCGATGTATTCTTCAGGTAGATCTTGAAATATATACGCGTGTAACAACGCGCGCTCTCGTTCACCGTGATATTACTCACAATAATTAATTATTTTATCGTACTCTCCAATATGCGATCGTTCAATCGAACAGGAGCAGGTGGCTCTTGTGCTACCCGCGATTACATAATTATTTCTTCAACTACCTATTTGTGTATCTCGTTTCTGCTCGATGCTTGATATGAAATTTATTCGTAATTTAACGTCGGCTCGTAAACCCAGCTGCGATCGGGCGGTCTCGGATGCGTCGACCGATTTTGTTTCGAGCCTGGCTGTCAGATCGTTCAGGTAGTCTGACTCCGTATTACGTTACCCGCGCTGCACTCGCTCGATTGCGTTCGCTCGCGCCGCCGGCCGGACGTCACCTGACTTTAACTTTGTTTCGAATTAATCGAACTCGAGGCGTCCGCGGAGAAACGCACTTGGCTCTCGCGCGCACGCGGTGTTCATTAAGTAAAATTGATTGCTGTCGTATCACGAGCACGCCGAATTAGTTGAACGTTCGAGCACGACCAGCCGGATAAATTCCGTGCGGCTATTCCTCTCCCGATAGAGCAGGCATGTGTAATCTATTCGACTGCGACTTTAATCGATTCATTGCAGATTAATTGACTCAACTGGATTCCAAAGAGAATTAATATCGATCGTTATTAAAGTTACATCGAGACATTGATAATTAATCGTGTCCCGTATTAATCTCGAAATTAATCTCGAATCAGTCTGAAATCTCATCTAACATCTCATCAGGGGACACAATTTTGAACTTTATTTGGAATCTCAGCAAGTTTAGCATTTCAATCAAGAATTATTAAATTAAAACAAATTCACTTCATAGATTCGAACCAACTCTTTTTTTCGATAAGTTTTATAATATTCTTATAGAGAGAGTAAATGTTTTGAGTACATGACAATGAGCTCTTCTTAAATCTGCGATATATCTTAAGGTTACTGTTAAGAAAATATTCGTTGTTGAAATTAACCATTATTCGAAAGAAGGAAAGTAAACTGAGTAATCCTGGCAGTAGAAAGATATTTTTCTGTGTGCAGCACTTCTGTGTGTGAAAAGTTTCACGACAACACAATTTGGAGTTCTATCTGAAATCTTGCAATTACTCTTGAGAGCGGCGTCACATCGAGAAGAGAAATTTCTTTTTTGAAGGCACGCGTTCGTCGGGATATCGCGAACGGCCAATTCCTTCTTTTTTTTCTATTTTCAAGCTCTCCCTTGCCTCTTTGCACCCCCACCTCTTCTCCTCCTATTCAATGTACGACTTTTCTCCGTGCAACTTTGCGCATTCGTTCTAACGCTTCGGCGAACTACTTCAACGATTCTACTCATTAACTACGTTGCACCGCCTGCAACCAAGTGCGCGCTAAAATTACTTCCGGCGAGTATCAGTCCCGTCAACGACGGGAACTTGGCTCGTTAATGTGTTCGGGAACGACGTAGACTAAGTTCTAAGTTCCGCAACACCCTTACGCGGATTAAGTAACGCCCCGTGGATGCACTCGGCGAACAGACGGTATTGTGCAACGCGGTGATTGCAACGTTCTACTCTTTGTAAATGACAGCGTACACGCGATTATGTACGGCGCGATTATATATGCGGTGATTACACGATGAAGTAGACACGAGCGTACGACAAGCATAAACCGCGAATAACGGCAAGATAATGGCGCATTGAGTCCTCTCACGAGGTATCTTTCACTTCTTAGAGTGAGTCTGTTACGGTTTACAGTTGTTGTACTTTTTGTAAAAGAGCAAAGCCTGTTGCCGCCGTTGTGTGTTCATCATCGTGTATGTTTTTCATTAAGAAGTGTGAACAATGTAGATTCACATCTCGGAATTACGATCGTGATCTGTTTCGCAATGTGAAACGCAACGGCTACACAACTTTCCTATTTGGTTACGAGAAGGTGGAAATCTTTCCACGCCTGGGGGAAAAATTATTCCGAAAATTATATGTATTAAGAGTGGACATGAATGGAATCAAGATCTACGCATCGCGAAGATTGTTTTCTACTCTGAAAAACTCCACGGCGGTAAGACGAGGAGCCTCCATTTTCGCGTCTCGTCATCGCGAATTCGTCGATTAAGTCACACATAGAAGTTGCAAGATATATTTCGAGAAAAATTTTGGTTGAATTGATCACATTTTTGGTGAAATATGAACCAGACATTCCGGTTATCGGAATTGTATTCAAGCCAGAAATCTTGTTCATGTTACAACCAGAACTTAACCAGTAACTTTGGTTAGTCACATACACTGAGAGAAAAAATGATTGATCTAATTGAAATTGCAGTTATTTGTGAACCTAACCATATTTTTATGGTAAAATGGTAGTAGTAACATGCATATAAAGTTATTATTCTTAACATTATAGTAGAAGAAAAAGGTTTAATAACAAAAAGGTTTTCTTGCCTACAATTATTTCTCTGTATGATTGTAATTAGAACACTTTTGTACACAGAATAGCTAGCAAGAATACCAAGCATTTTTTTCTTAGTGCAATTCTCTCACGCGCGTCTCGAAGATTCCCGCTCATGACAGTAAAGAGACGAAGTTATGGGATCCGTTTCGCTCGATTCTCGATCAATGGAAAACGACCAAGAGCGAGTTCTGTTGGACGGAGGTTCGCGTACCGCGCGAGCGGCAAAACAGGATCCGAAGCAGCCAGCTGCCAATTCCGAATATCAGGTGACCACCGAAAAGCGAATCGCGAAGAGCCGCGAACGCCAATTCTCGCTCGTACATTACGAATTGCAGTCGCGTTTTCGTTTCTGTCGTGAAAAGAAAAAAAGAAAAAAACCGTGTGTCGTACAATTGTGCGTGCAGAGTAACTTTTGGGGTTCGCTGCGACAGACCACGTCCGACGATAGTGCGAGAGACGGCGATGAACATGCGAGGCAGCGAGAGACCGGCGAACATCTCGAGACTTTGAAATTCGCCAAGAAGAGCAAAGATCGCGGCGGAAGAAAAGCGAATTCCAGCAAGCGCAGAGTCACGTTCGCCGACCATTAAACTCGCTCTCGCGGCGATGGCGAGCGTTGCGTTACATTACATTAAAAACTGCAGAAAATGCAGATATCGTATTGCACTCATTCGACGGATGTCCAATCGGATTTTTCCGCGTAATAAGATTTTTCGATCAAAGGCGCGCGCGCGAGAGCGGATAATACGATTTCATCGTCGAGAAATCGCGCGTAACCGATCTTTGTCAATGATATGATAATCTCGTGACTGATCATTAAAGGAATAATAATGATTATTGTCGTTGTTATTTATTCTAATAATTTCGTCGTTTCTCTTTAATATTCTAGATCGCATTCCGAAACGTCCTCTTTGAGGGGAATTTTACTGAAGATCTATAGTTTACGTTTGGATATACATTGAGAGAAACAAAATCTAAAAATTAGTATGTATTTGGTCAAAAAGTAGTCAAAGTTTATTACTAAAAGCATATTTATTTTAATCTAAATGTTTTTATTTAAATAAAATTATATAATTCATGAAAAATTAAGATTTTCTTAAGATTCTAAGAAAATGCACATTTTCTTATTTGAAAAATATATTAGTACAAGGAAATATGCTTAATATCCATAAAATAAATATTTACTATTTATATTTTTTCTTTCAATGTACTGAGTGGATTTTCAGTAGAATTTTCCTCAAAAAGACGTTTTGGAATGTAACCCTAATATCAATCGGACGGATCGATCGTCAATTATTTAAAGCGACATCACTATAGAGCGGTCTATCGACCACGTTCAGGTCAATCTCTACAACAAAATTTCCCGTCATTTCCACCATCAAAATTCCAAGTAAATCAAATTCCTTCCCTATATAATCAAATATCAAACGATCGCACGTATGATCATGAACGGATTCAAAATATGGGCGTTGCAGGATCTATCACACATCCTGTCCATCAAATTCTTGCAGGTATCCTCGGGAACTTATCAACCTCAAAACTTGAGCAATTAGTCGTAATTGAGATAATATTTCGACGAGCTGATAGATAAGAAAATAAATAGAAGAATACAATTAAAAATACAGATTTGGAAAATCTAGAAAAATGTTAATTATTAGCGCAGATGGGATGATACATTTCATAGCTTATACATTTATAAAGATGCTTATTTTTAACCTCGTTATACCGAAAAATATTTTTATAAATTAGCAAGAAGCACACGTACCGTCGAACATGCTCAAACGTCGCTTTTGGAACTTTCTCGATTTCTTTCGCAAGGAAAAGATCGCAAAAGTCGATTCATTGAAAACAGCAGTCCACAGGACTTGGACCTTGCCCGAAGTTGTCGCGACGTTCCTCGGGTTTCGATCGCCCGCGCACATTTTGCACCTCGAAACAAGCGCGAAGATAAAACACATAAAAGCATTAGTACCTTTCACTAAGTACAACGGCTCGTCGTTGCTGGACGAGAATCCAATATCCAGGAACGCGGTATTGAACTTGACGTGCTACAGAACGCTTAGAAACGTGCAGGCTGATGATTTCGTTCCCCATATTCAAGAAGCGCGACAAGAACAAAGTGCACGCTATGAATTGTTGCAGCACGATCGTGCTGCGAATCTGACAAATCGGAATCCTTCGTCGTTTTCACCTCGTGCAACACGTCGCGTTTTCTCCTCAAAAAGTTGCACTGTGCTCCAGAGATCCGTTAAAACGATGGCGCCCTCGACAAAAGGCTCGAACGGGATGCCCAATACAAACGTATCGATCGTTCCCTTGAGAGGCACGCGATCACACTCAGGTGCCTCTTGAAGCTGATTATAAGTTCGCGATTGTAATTCTTGATTTTTCATTCGCGACGATAATTCTTTATGATACCTCAAGTTCTAATTCCAATAGTTTCCTTAATTTAACACAACAAACGCGCGGTTCAAATACATTAATTCAAGTCTTTTTTTTATTAATATTTTATTATTATTATTAATATTATTAATATTTTATTATAGACATATTAAATGTTATTAGACACACTAGACACTTTAGAGACAAATTAAAAATGCGGAAATAACCGCGTCCATTGCTAGGCTACGTGTCCCTGACAAGAGTGCGATCATTTTCCTGCAACACTTCGAAGCCGTGGAAGCCCGCTGATTGCAAAGACGATAATCAGCAAAAGTCGCAAAGTCGACGCGAATCCGAGAGCGAGAGGAAGATCTGCGGAGAGAAGACGCTGCGGAAAGGCACGTGCGGCCAGAATAACGCCTCATCTCGCGATGATACGTGCGGGAAGCGACGGAGGAGCAACTTGAAAACGTGCAGCGACCGCCGCGCCGATTTGCAGAAGGAAAAGAAATGCAACGCTGGCGAAGCACGGTGTTGCAGCGGCAAGAAGATTGATTGCAACACGAAAGGACGATGTTCCACAAGAAACAGCATCTCTTCGTCGGATACCGACGCGCGACGTTGCAGAAGTAATACGAAACATAAAAACATCACATAGCTTTTCGTGTGTATCGTATAATGTTAATTACAATTGCAGAACGTTTTGGATCAACATACTTGAAATTCTCAGACACGGAAATAATTAGTTTACGTTATTTCCAATTATTATTATTTCATGTTTTATATCTTATTTTTATTTCTATTGTTTTTAATTTTTCTTCCAATTCTTTTTCTCAATGTGCGCTTCTATCCTTAACGATTAATCCTCTCATTAACTGCCAGATCGGCAGTCGAAGTCGTCGTGTGAACGCAAGGAGGATAGCGCAATCTGCACGGATTCGTCAAAGAAGGAAATCGATTGTTTCCGAGAATCGAAATGCGGCAGACAACGGACTGACGATGCAATATGTGGAAAAGTTCTGAGGGAACGCTTGAAAAAGAATCGATTCAGCGGCCGGAGAAGGGATTGTTCTCGGAGCAGTAGCAACAAACGTCACAAGTCAGGCTGCTCCTCGGGAAAACGGCGATACTCCCAACTGTCGTTTCTTTCCAATTATCCGCAAAGTCACGCGCCCTTCGGCGTCTTGATTTCCGACACCGTTCGCGGTGTACGAACTGGCGATGCGACACGCCGGCTTTATGCCAGCTGCGACAAAGACAAGAAGAACGATTCAAGATCGAATTCACTCAGCGAGAAACCGAAGGAAACGTGCGAAACCACGAAAATGCAAGAAAGAAAAGAGAAAATATGCACGAAAGGTCCGGCGAAATGTGTGCCCAGAAAATCAGTCCCTGATAAGTCACAGATCTGTGACTCTACGTCAAGAGAGAAGAAACCATGCGAACTTTCACAGAGGAGCTCCACGTGCTCTCGTGAGCAATATTGCGCCAACAGGAAAGGACTCGACGCGAAAAAGGATCAGTCCACAGAACAACGTAAGTAATCCTTTCCGCCATGTGGCAGAAAAATGCCTCGGACTTGTGAGTAATTTCCATCTCCTCATTTTCCCGCAAGCGGAGGAGACTAGGGAGGAATCGGTGAAGGAGAGAGTCGAGCGTGAATTCAAAGAGATGAACGAGTGCAAGAAGCATCGCGACAAGAAAGACAAAAGATGCAGGAGGTCCGCCGTAGAGAGCAAGACGGCAAGTGAAACGTGTGATCAGTCGAAGAAGGATAACACTCGTAATTTCACAGGCTCGATAGCAAGGCTGAGAAGCGCGCTGAATGAATTGAGCTTTTCAAGTCCTATCAGTCGATCAGGAGTCGTTCGTGACGAGTCGGCCATTATTGCGAGGTTGATACCGACATTATTTAGGTCTCATTTCTGTCGTTACGCACGAAAACTGATAAACTTCGATTTGCAATGACATCCCCTTTTGTCCCGATCGACAATTTGCAAGACCTGTCGAGAATATTCACAATAATCGTTATTACAACATCGTGTCGTGACTATTCGCGCTCAATAGCCAGCTATGCTACTGCCAACAATGAGTTATTTAATACGACGTAATTACAGGAATGTCGGGTCGTTGGACGTGATGTTTGATCGATCGTTCTATACGACGAAAGCGTATCAGCAGGATGATTCCGCTGTCAAACGAAGCGCGGATCACAGCGGAACGCTTCCGAGCAGTGTTAATGGCGGCGATTTTATACACGGGGATGAATTGCCGCTTTTTATCGAGGTAGAGAATAACGAGGAAGAAGAGGCGGACGAGCGTATCGATCGATCCTCAGAACGCGATTGAATCATGATCGAAGGTCAGAGTACACGATAATTCGCACGTGCAATTTAATACGCGAATAATAGAAAGACTCCACCATCTCTCTCCCTTCCCCTCGCTCTCTTTTTCTCTCTCTTTCTCGCTCTTCTTCTTCATTATTTCATACTCTGTCCGATATCTATACGATATTCTCGGAGAATATGATAGAAGTCGGTCGATAAATAATCGAGCGGATGTTCATGCAAGTACGTGCGTGTGTGATCCCCGACTGCGTCTTGAAAACATTTCTACTCTCTTAAAGTGAATCAGTAAACATGTTTCTGATTGAGTCTAGTTTCATTGAGTCTAGTTCTGATTGAAAAGGAACATTTCATCAATAGTCAGTGACTGTTCACTGATTTTCAACATCTGCACTTTACTGCTTCATCTTAAATTTCACTGATTTTAATCAGTGGACGAAAGGTTCCAAAATCTGTACACTACAAATTCGTTAAACACTACATAAAATCCAACTTTGACGTTTCTGACGATGTAATCGCCGGCTTCCATGCGATTTGCGTGTAATGACACTGTTTGCAAACTGTGTTAACAACAGAAACAATCGTTACCTTAGTAAATAATATCAATTAGTAATTATATCAACTGATATTTTCAACGAGCTTTTACCGATTGCAGTGCTTATAATTGAACCATTAGTTATAAATATAGCATTTCAGTGAATTATACACTGATTGTGCTTTTAGAGAGTATTACGTTCGAATACTGCAACGCACGCATATTTATTACGCTAATGTATCCCATTTCCAGTCGAAAATACAAGACGTATCACGCCGATTACGCGGTAGTCGAATGGAGAGTATACTGCTCGACAAGATTTCCGCCACCGATGGCGAATCGACTCCACCACGATACACGACGACACGTGGTCGTGCTTTCGACGCGAACCGGAAAGGGCCGATTATTCTTCCGGAAGAGGACGAAGGCGCGAGTCATCGTGCGAGCGACTCGCTCTCGCTCGCGCTTTCGCCAGACGGACGTCTTTGTGGCGCGCGACGGAGGCGTGAATGACGGTGGGCCAGGAGGCCCAATTACGAGTTATTCAGGCCTCGCCGCGGGGCATCGCGCTTCATATGTATGTATGTGCGTATGTACGCACCTACCTGACGCCTTCTCCCTTTTATCGCGGCACAAGAGCGAGGGAGAGCGCGAAGGGGACGAAGAGGGGTGGCGGTGCGGCGAGCTGAGGTGAGGTGAAGTTGGGTGAAGGGTGGCGAGGGGTGAGAGCAGGAGAACGTGAGGACGTCTCTGCGGGATTCCCGCCGCCACTTATGGGAATGTGATACGAGCTTTTCGTCGGATGCTCTCTTGCGTTTTCGCATTGTTACGCAACCGTCCGCGCGTCACCCTCGTGCGCCCCGACAAAGGGAATCAATGTCAATGCGCGCGCCATGCTGCTGCGCGCTCTCTTACGCAAAGATCCGCATAGGTGCGAGTCGAGCACCGGAATAATGATGATCAGGAGAACGTTAATAAGCGCGCGCGCGCGAGATGTTGGCGGTTTACCTGGTCTCTCTATCTTACTTTCGACAGTAAACTCTCCCAGTTCTCGAACTCCCGTCCAGCGATGAGATTCGCCCGGGTTTCTGTCATGTTTCATGGATTGCGGACTTCGGCAATGATCGGTTTCTCACGTCATCTCTTAGAGTAAAAGTGCCAATGCATGGACACCGGTAACACTGGTATCTAACTTTGATCACATTCTTATTGACATTCTTATCGTTTTGGCTTTTAAATACGAATGTTTAAATTTTCAGTATAGAGAATATGTGTACATATATTAAATAAATATACATATGTTCTATGTTGAAAATACAAGTACTCATATTTAAAGAGCAAGACTTAGTTTAAATTCTGTTCTTTCTCTTTTTCTAACAATGATCGATCTACTGAGAAAAATATTTGGTATCTGTAACTATGTGATCTTACACAGAGAAATAATCACTATAAATTATGATCGAAAAAAGCACATTTTTATGAAATTCTACTATAATATTAGTGGTAATAACCTTATATGCGTGTTACCACTATCATTTTCCTTTTAAAACAATTAAAAAATATGGGGTACAAAATAATTATAATTTTTGTTAAATCAACCATTTTTTTTTCTCTCAGTATATATTTAGACAGAGTTTAAACTCAAATATGAATTTAGACTACTATTGAAAATTGGCCCTTATGCGGCGGGTTTTGTTCACCTGTCATCGCTGATCGCATGATGATCAATTAACGTCACTGATATCACTGGATGACAGTCAGCATTCGAATATTTTCTGCGCCCTCTTCCCACTGCGCGCGAACCTGAAAATATACATTTCAAATGGTGCGTGTGCAGAGCAAGGCAGTACGCATTTGGTACTTTTGTATATTCGAAATAAATTTGATCACGCACTGATTATATCACAGGATCAAATTTATAAAAAAAAAACACATACAGAAAGTCATTTTATACCGAGCTCGCAGCGCACACGTATATTTTTCAATCCCTATTTATCTATGCTGTTGCATTTTCGGCCGTTTTTCCTAAAGCCGTCCGCGAAGCTTTTTGTAAATACCGTGCTCGATTACAGGGTAAACCGATAAGTCCGTCGGGACGACGTACGCAAGCCGGTGCGGCGACCGGCCCTGATTTGTCCCATCGGCAAGATCGAACGGCCGATTTCGCAGCTCTTAGAGCGGACCGGGAGGGTCCCTGGGCGTCACATTATGGTGTCAACGACTCGCTCGTGGACCACAAACCGTCGGCATCCGCGTGTCGAGGATGAATGCCGACGCCACGGGTGGCAGACAAGCGCATACAATCCGAATAAAATGTATCAATTCCGTCGTGGTGTGTCGGAGCCTCTTCTCGAGGCTCGATTGTGCGCTTCTCTCGAAGGAATCAAGTCCCGAACGCAACGGACGGCGTCGATTATCGCGTCGGTGCGACGAGTGCATCGAATTGCTGTGTTATATAAATGACGCGATATAGCGAATTTCAATTGAGGTAATTCAATAAATGCATTTTAAATGTAATACACACGAAGGTGTGTCGTTAAATTAATCGCTCCTCGAGAGAGCGACATAAATCTTCAACTCTAAGCAAGCAATACGTTTAATTTTCGAGAATTTATGCGTGTATTATCTAAACACACACGCGTGTTAATATTTCCACGTGTATTAACGAAAATTATTATTGCAGGCCGAAATATGATCACATGAGGACCGTTTGTGGTAATCGGCCGCCTCGAGTTGCAGACCCATCCGTCGGCGTTGCGTCGCCGTCGGTGCGTCACAACGAACGCAGATTTCCTCCGCACTTCGCGATTCGTTCGAGTCGTGTCTCACTCTTTTCACGATTCTGGTTTCGTGGCTGATTGCGAGACGCTGCGTCGTGTGCGAACTACAATAAGCCATACTCTCTGAATTTCTTAAAGGAAAATTTTACTCGGAAAGTAGAATGACTACACTGAGAAAAAATGATTGTGTGTGATATTTGTAACTTCAATCACATAGAAAAATAATTACTACAAATTATAGTCAAGAAAAAACATTATTTTATTAAATTCCACTATAACGTCAGTGTGATAATCTCATATGCATGTTATCTCTACTTTCGTTACTTTTGTTTTCTACTTTCTTTAAAGTAGAAAATATGATTAGAATTAAAAATAACTATAATTTTGTATAATTGACAAAGTCACTCGAATTCGAGTGATTTTTCACTCATACAGAATGAATTTTTCAGTCTAAATCAGCGAATGAATATTTTCACTTAAAATTGAAGAGTAAATATGTGATGTACTCCATCGTAATGAGGATATATTCACTCTAATTGATTGAAACATTCACTACGGAGTCAGAATCTATTCCAAACTCGAGTGAAATATTCATTCTTGCGATTTTAAATGGTAGTATTTTCACTCGAGACGATGATGAAGATACTTCTACCTTTCGCTCGTTCTGAGTGAGACTCCACTCCAAGAAATTCTCAGAGTACGAATTCAATCGATGATTCAATAAAAGAAACGGAAAAGTGGCTAAAATAAAAGTGGCTTTACGACGCGACACGAACGTGGAACGTTAGGCGAACACTTTATAAGGGATAAAAATTCTCCTCCCTCTTTTAAATTCGGCAATCATCAGTTGTGAAGAACCGCGGAGAAGATGGAAGGGTTCCACACATGGGACACCCATGACAGTTGAAGGAGGTCCCATGTCAGTCCCTTCGAGGGAAATCCGCGTAAACCATACGGTATTCTTCCCTGTCCCTAGACTTCTCTCTATACACGTGCTTTAGATAAACGAAGAAATATGGTGGACACGCTTTATTTCAGGCATGTTTCCCTAAAAGTTTAAAGCTCATCTGAAAAAACAACACGTCGTGACGTTTTCCTGTTTACAGGATACACAATTCTTCGCGTTGTAACTTGCAATACACCCTATCTCAGTCTCAATTGTTGCTATGAGCAACGCACACATGCAGTTAATCGGAAACAGCCGGACTCGCACATTTTGTGAGTTCTGTTTTTCGAAATACAGATCCTGTTGTTTCAATGACTGGAGATATCAGAACATTATTTTTACGTCGGTGAGATTTTTCAACAGAATTTTTAATCGCTGTACTCTATGCTCTTCTTTACAATCCATTTTAGAGATTAAACTCTTTCAGCACTGTGCAACCTCCCTCTTGCATACTTAGGGAGCAGCATATCTGCTGCTTTTTCGTCGCGACATCGCGGACCTCTGTCATCGCGGCGTAACGCGTCGCCAGCGGCTTTCATCGTTAAATCGGACGAGGTCGGCGATTTCGCTATAGCGAGGGGAGACTGCACGGCGTGTGTTATTCTAACCCGAGCACGACAACACGCGCGCGCGCGCGGGTGCCTTAAGTAACGCAAAAACGCTCCGTCCGTGAAACTTTATCCAACTTCTGTTGTAAGTAGCTTCTAAGCGACGTACCTTTCTTCCGTGGAGGCGTTCATAAACCCCGCGAGTGCTATAAATCGATTTTTCCCCACGGAGGATAAGCCGTTGTCCTCCATCCTTGCATCCCTCCCGCGTCTTCCGCTCTCTCTCTCTCTCTCTCTCTCTCTCTCTCTCTCTCTCTCTCTC